CACATAACACTTGCTAGCTGTGTGACCTTGAGCAAGTTGCTTAACCCCATTGCCTAGCCCCCCCCACCAAAAAAAAAGAAGTTGAACTCTGATTAACTAAAAAAAACCCAGGGAAAGTCTCAGGGAAGAGATAATGAAATATAATGTCTCCTTCACAATGGAGAGTTGATAGATTAGACAGAATATTGCATAACTTCTCAGATGTAGTCCTTGTATTGAATGATTTTGCATACTTGTTTTTTTTTCTCTATTACCAGGGAGGATTCAATTTGGAGGAGGGGGGTAGTGTTGAAATGACCCAGATATAAAGACAAAAGGCATAGAGAGAACATTTTTTTTAATAAAAGAAAGAAAATACAGGCTCAGTGCAATTAAATGATTTACCCAGAGTCATCCAGCTATTAAATAAATGAACTAGGACATGAACCCACATCTCCTATTTCTAAGTCCCACACTCTTGCCATTATAACTGCCTCTCTAAGAAACTAGAGGTCAGGGTAGGTGCAGGAGCTTGGGTGGGGTGGGTTAGTACAGCTAGTACTGAGTGGAGCAAATTATGAGGCTAATATCTGGTTCTTGAATATCAGAGAAGACAGGATTCCTCTTCAAGTAGAGATCCAAGAAGCGCTTAGGCTGTCCATCAGAGTCTGAGAGCCAAGGGCAAAGAGCCCTCTGGCTGAAGCCTCAGTCTTTTGTGCCTGGGAAGAGTGGGTGGAAATAGAGATTCAGAGGTTGTCTCATTCCCAGGCAGTACACACCCAACCCCTAGCCTCCCACTTGAGGAAGTTAGTGCCATTATAAGTGGGGCTACTTTTATCAAAATGGGGGCAGACTCAGTGAAGGGAGTATGATGGTCAGTAAATGTGCACAACAGCTGGTTGATTTTTTGCCAATGATGTCTCAATAAATGAGCCTGGAAGAAGAGTAAACTTCCCTTACTTAACCTTCTGTTTTTCCCCAGCAACTGAAGTTACCATCTGTACTATAACTCTCGAAAAGACATCTGCTGGTTTAGGATTCAGTCTGGAAGGAGGAAAAGGCTCAATTCATGGAGATAAGCCCATATCAGTTAACAGAATTTTCAAAGGTATGAAACTAGTAGGGTATCAATTTTTCTCCTTGGGGGTGTGTGAACAAAACTCTCTGAAATCATTTAATATTTTTCAGGCCATAAATATTTCACATGGACTATACCGCATCTGAGAAGTAGCATAGCATAGCAGATAGAATGCTGAACCACAAATCAGAAAAATCTGCATTCAAATCTCACCTTTTATAGTTTTTAGCTGTCTCAACCAAAGCAAGCCACTTATCTGTAAAGACTTATCCAATATTAAATAAATTTCCATGGGTTACAGGCCTATGCAAATTGATCTAAGGAACTCCTCCATTTGGTATTTAAAGCTCTGGATAACCTGGTCCCCTCTAACCTTTCCAGTCTCCTTAAAAATGACTCCATGATTGGCCTGCTTGCTGTTCCTCACACCTGGTTCTGTGTCTTTGTACTCACTGTTCCCCGTGTCCTGACTGCTAGCTCCTGTCAAGACTGGGCTTGAATCCCACCTCCTTGTGGGAGGCCTTTCACGGTTCCTCTCTTCCCCACTCTGAGATTACTTTCCATTTATACTTAGTGTATGTATATGTATATACTTCTTTACATGTTGTCTCCCCTATTAGAATGTGAGCTCCTGGAGAACAGATCTTTGTATCCCTGGCACTTAATACATTGTTGGACACATAGCAAGCACTTAATGAATTATTATTGATTTGCTGACTTTGAGGGGCAGTCATAGAATATTTGATATGGAAGGGAACTCAGAAATCATCTTGTCTTACTTCCTTATTTGACAGATGTAGAAACTGAGGCAGAGATGGTAGTGGCTTGCCCGAGGTCTCTCCCACATCTAGTAAATGAAAAAACTGGGATTTACATTTAGGTCTTCTGACATTTGATCCATTGCTCTTTTCACTGCACCATATGGTATCCAAGAGCATGGGTCTAGGAGATATGCCTGAGAATGTTTGTATGAATACAATCACCTTGTGTGACTCCCCCATGTCTCCTTGTCCGTAGACCTCAGAGGTACCTGGAATATTCTAAGTAGCTTGAGAGCACTTCTATAAGCAGAAGGAGGGTGTTATCATTAGAATGTGAAAGGGTATATTGTTCTCTTTTCAGGATTTTTAATGCACTTCAATGTATCCAGTTCCCTTGACTGGGAGTTTGGGAGTGCCTAAAAACCTATCCTGTCTCCTAAACATACCCTTTGGCCAGGAGGCTGCCTTAACCAAGGGATACTCAGGCTTCAGAAGTGTGGAAAATTACATTTTTAGCCAGTCTGTCAATAAACATCTATTAAATGCCTACTGCATGTCAGTGGAAGCTAGGGGGCACAGTGGACAAAGTTATGGGCCTGGAGTCAAGAAGACTTATCTTCCCAAGTTCAAATCTGGCCTCAGACACTTACTAGCCATGTGACCCTGGGCAAGTCACTTCATCCCGTTTGTCTCAGTTTCCTCATCTGTAAAATGAGCTGGAGAGGAAATGACAAACCACTCCAGGATCTTTTCAAGAAAACCCCAGATGGGTCATGAAGAGTCAGACACAGCTCAACAAGAACACTATGTGCCAGGCCCTGCGCTAAGCTCTGGGGACACAAAGAAAGGCAGAAGAGTCTGCTCTCAAGGAGCTCTCAGCCCAATAGAGCATTTTCCCATCTGGCAAAAACACTAGGAAATGTGTTCGTCCGATTTCTAAATAATCCTGAGAATCTCCAAGTTGTCTTAGCACGCATTTAGTTTAATGGGAAAATTTCTAGTAGGTCTGCTGTCTGGTTTCTTTAGACATTCCCTGGCATCTTTGAGGCATGTATTTATTTTCTCGGTTGCTTTTCTCTCCGAGTAAAATACCAGAATAACCTCTCCCCATCAACTCTTCTTCCCTACTCTCAGGGGTAGCTTCAGAACAAGGTGATGCAGTCCAGCTGGGAGATGAAATACTGCAGCTCAACAACACCACAATGCAGGGACTTACTCGTTTTGAAGCCTGGAATGTTATCAAGTCTTTACCTGATGGGCCCATCACGGCTGTCATCAGGAGAAAAGGCCTCCATCCCTCCCTGGCCAAATCTTCTGAACAGTCCCAGGGCAAGGACTGACAGTTGCAGCCCAGAAGCAACCAACATCTCCCTCCCTCAAATTGTTCTCTCTCAGGACCTCATCTCCCACTGTGCAGATGTTGGGAAAGTCCAGATGCTTCACTCTGGCGATTGCTGGATATCATCAACTTTCTGGGACATCATCCGATAGCAAGTTGTCCAGAAAATGAAGATCCATGACTGCCTCCAGAATCTCAATGTTCTGCAACAGCTGATCATACAAACTGTGTAGACTTTGTAAAAAGAATATACATAGAGATCAAATAGAGATCATATTGGTGATACAATGATATAATAAAGATAGGTGAATTTAATTCACCTCAAAAGCCATTTTCTGATTAAAATTGTTTTAATTGGGCCAGGGAGAGCAATGGGAAACTTGCGGCTGGGAAGTGGGGGTTGTGTAACTTTGGAAGACAGAATTGGTACCAATGGGTAGGGGATTTCCTAAGCACTTCAGGGGTTTTTATGTGATGAAAATATGTGAAAAGAGGAAAAGGGGATTGCTGGATGGCAGGCTTTTGTATAGAGATGGACCTGACCCATATGATTTAAGAATTCATGTATCTGAAAGGAATCATGAAGAAGGGGGTAAGACACACATATGTATGGGTACATATCTATATATCTACATGTGTGTTTTGTGTATATATATATATATATATATATGCATGTATATGTGCTAAAAATATATTGTATTTCTCTAGTACCTTTATTCAGTGATCTCATAGTACTTTATGTCAGTTCCTATATCATTAACTTTGTCTGCTCTGGAGGGCTAGGTTTCTATCCCAATCTTGACAACTGACTTGGGTAGTTAGGCGGCAGTGACAGGGTGCTAAGCTCAGAGTTAAGAAGGTCCGAGTTCAAATCCTGACTTAAGACACTTACTACCTGTGTGATCCTAGGCAAGTCACTTAACCTCTGCCTGTCTCAGTTTCCTCATCTCTACAAGAGGGTTAATAATAGACTGTAACCCCCAGGATTATTGTGAGGATCAAATAAGATAAGTGCTTTGCAATTCTTAAAATGCTAAATAAATGCTAACAACAACAACCTACTACTATTATGCTGATGATAGGGAGAAGGAGGTGTGATGTGGTTATAGAAGACACCCACTAGGCAGATCCAATATTAGCCAAGTGACCTCTGAAAAGTTGATCTTTCTAAGCTCTAGTTTCTCTGTGAATAAACCCTTACAGTATGTGTCTCCCATGATTGTTATGGGTACTAAATGTGGTAAGCCAGCATCCTGAAAGAACTTGTAGATAGAATTGCCGAGCTGATGTTTGAATGATCATGGAGATAGGAGAAGTACTTTGGAACAAGAGAAAGGCAAATGTCACAATAGGAAGAGAATGAAACAGAGATAATATGCCAGTGAACTTGACTTCAATCCCCAACAGAATTCTTGACCATATTTTTAAAGGGTCACAAGGATCCAGCACAGATCTTTACCAAGAACTGGTTGTGCCACTTTCTTTCCTTTTTTGACAAGGTTATTACGTTTGGTTTACTACAAACAGGGGTACTAAACAATTTCTGAGCTTGCCACATAGTAGCCTATTAATGAGTTTGCTAAACTGATAGGCAAGGAGCTCATTTCCATTCCTCTCCAACATTCAATCCCGTTTCTTATGCTTTCCTTGTCGATACAATGAAGAAATGTCAGTTAAGTGATCTAACAGTTAGAAGGATTCCAAGGAGGGAACTCAAGTGCAAAGATTCGTGATTTGATGTCAGCCTGTAGAGAAGTCTCCAGCGGAGTGCCCAGGGATTTGTGCTTCAGTGATCTCTCCATGGTTGACTACAGTGCCAATGAAAAAAAAAAACAATACCGAATCACAATGAACAAAAGCAGAATTTTAATGATACAAACATCAACTTCCACAGTTACCCATACTCTTTGCCCTGGAAATGCTTAGATTAAGCAACTACCACTGTCAAGTGAAGATGTGGGGAAAGGCGGATAATCATTCAGCTCTCAGCTCATTAAAACAAAAGTGAAAGACTTGAGCTCTATTACAGACACACATTGAGTCAGACTAAGTTTCTTCAGTCCACGTTCTTTCTCCAGCCTGTTCCCCTCAGCAAAGCTAATAATACTCATGATCTATGTTAGACTCATAATACTCATAATCTTGATTAGACCAACCATTTAGGAATCACACCAGTTACTTAAAACCTTCCCCACCCTCTATACCTACTCTTCTAGATGATAGGCACATCATGATTTGGAATATTGCTTTGTTACTAACCCAAAGAGGCAGCGTAGCATAATTTACAGAGAGCTAATATTAAAGCCAGCAAGATCTGGGTTCAAGTTCTGACTGTGATATATACTGACTGTGTAATCCTGGACAATTCATTTAACCTCTCAGTGCTCTAGGCAACTCTCTTAAGACTAGAAATTGCCAAGAAGTAGTGGTTTTTTGTTGGTAAAAGATATTTTCTCAACTGGAAGTTCCCCATATCAATGAAATCACAAGTCCAGCACTTGTTCCTTTTTAAGCTAAATTTTATATCACAGACTCTTGGTTGAAAGGTTCCTCAGAGGTCATACCTAGTCCACTCCAAACCTGAACAAGAATTCTCCCTCCAACATACCCCAAATAGGTATCCAGTTTGTGCTTGAAGCCTTCTAGTGAAAGGAGCACAGCACTGCCCAGGGCCCCCTGTTCCATGTTTGGGCAGCTCTAATTGTTAAGAAGTTTCACCTTTTTGCAACTTCTACCCTTTGGGACAATTACTTCTGGTGCATGCTGAATGAATCTAAACCCTCCTCCATGTGCGCACACTGAAATACATGAAGGTGGCTACCATATTCCATCACCCTTAAATCTTTCTTCTTCATTTTAAGTATTATCTTCATATGAAATGACTATTTAGTCATGGTCTCATAGTCTAGGTAACAGGATTTAATTTTAAGGATCAGGTATTTGTATGAATAAGATAACACTTTGTAATTGATTTTCAAGTACAGCTGAGACCATATTTTAACAGGATACGCTATTCTGTTATACAGAATATATCTTATAAATATGGCCTAGATCACACAACTCTTCAGTGGTTGCACAATTAGGCTAAGGGTTAGACTCAAATGATGGATAATAATATATCAGGATTAAACATAAGTAATTTTCTACAGAAGTTGTCAATGGAAAAAAAAGTAGATTAATAAAGTTTGTAGATGACAAAAAACATGAGATATGGGACATGACTGTTTCCTCAGAAGATCAGAACAAAATTTCAGAGTTGCTGAAAGGCAAAATTCAGCACAAAGTAAAAATAAAACAAAACAAAAAACTTCTTCACAATCAGAGCTGCTCAGAAATAGAATGGGCTTCTTCTGAAGGTAATGAGTTCCCTGCCCCAAAGCTGGTTCAAGAAGAGAATAATTGACCAGTAGTTGCCAAGAAGATTCATGCTCCAGGGAGTGTTGTACTAGACATTTGAGGTCTCTTCGAGCTTAAGATCTTATAATAATGTTGGCAAACTTGTCACTGGACAAAAAAAAAAGACAATAAAATACCCATACTATCTGATATGCAGAGAACCTCACAGTTGTAAAGTACTTTATAAATATATTCTCATTGAATCTTTAAATTAAAACAGGTATTATTATTATTATTATTCCTATTTTTGCAAATGAGAAAATGACTCAGAGAGGTAGAGAAGCTGTGGCCTCAGAGATGACTAGATTCAATGCTCTTTCAAGGATATCATGGGGGTCTCTTAAGGTTCAATAAGGACAGATATAAGGTAATTACACATGGGAGGAAGAACCAACCACTAAAAAACACAAGGAGGAAAGAGCTAGCAATATAAGCACTGCACACAAAAATCTAAGCATCTGTTTCTAACAGTAGAATCCCAGTAAAACTGAAATTCAAGTAGATTTTATCCTTGGTTCCCTCTTGATGTCCCTATATACCAAAGTAGGGTCTGTCTTACTGCCTTATATTCCCAAATAACTTTTCTCTTCTATCTTTGGAAAAATTTCTATTTCCTCGGTACATATGAAAATAATCTGATTAAGGCAATTATCACTGAGCTGTGAAATTCTGCTAGACTTAATCCTTAGGATCATTCAAAGTTGGAAGATATCTTAAACATCTGGAAACGAATGCCCAGAGGAGTTAAATGATGTAAAATATCACACAGATAGTAAGTGGTAAAAACAGGGTTTGAACCCATGTCCTCTAATTCAAAATCCAAAACTTTCCATAAGACTATGCAGGAATCATCCATACCTAAATTCCAATAAAGCCAAAGATAAGATATCTCATTAATTCAATGACTTTACAAAATCTGGTTCCTTTTCTTTTTTTGGTGAAAGCTATCGTGCAGGTAGAGGAGGAAAGGAAATATGTCAATGGCTGGCATCAGGGAAAGCAGAATCCCTGTGGGTGTCTGTCTTCTTCCTCCTGTTTTATCTCAGCAACTCCAGTTCGTGAATGGGTTCAATAGGATGTTTTTCCGTGGAGAATAGTGTCATTCTTGAAGTTTGTTCACTGCTTTTTGGAGATTATTGTAAAGTTCAGCCATACTGTGAGGGAAAAAGGAGTTCACCACTTTCTGGGGAAGGTAGCCACTGAGGTCAGTCTGAAAGAAACTGACAACATGGGTCTTGTTCGGTTCCCTGTGAAATCAACAAACAAATTATGTCATTATTCTATAGATAGATATACACGCAAGAGCAATATAGGGTGTGGCACAGAATTATAGAAGCTTACTTTGGAAGTGAGCTGAAGAGGTCATCTAATCCAAACGTATAACATCTTGGACGTATTGTTATACAACTTCTTAAATACTTTACTATCTCACAAGATGCCCCATTATATTTTTGGCTGGCTCAAATTCTTAGAAAGTCCCACCGAATTGCAGGTTGAAATTTTTATTTTTACTCACTGATCCTTGTTCTAGTGTCTGGTGCTACATAGAATAAAACTAATCCCTCTACCCTATGAAAACAATTTAAAGAAATATTAAGAAAAATCTGTTATGTCTACTTCCTTGCTTTCTCCAATTCCTTATAACTCTCTTTTCTTCTCCTGCCTAATTCTCCAAAGCCAATTTGGCTGTTTATAGATCAACAGTAATCATAGATCAAACTAGATTCTTCAGCTTCAGGAAATGGACTGAAGATTAGATATTTCAGAAACCAAAGATATTGAAAGCATTAATTACTTATGTAATTTCTCCTATGAAAATTTACATTAAAGTTTGAAAAAGCAAACAACATATTCCCTATGTGAAATTGTAAGTTTTGTTCGTGAGGTCCAAATAGGCAGATAGGAAATAGTTCAGTGGAATAATTCTAATGCATAATGCAGACATGGCTGGTCTTGTCTTCTTCAACAAAATTATTTATTGGAGATATATTTATTGATCCTACACCTATAACTAATACCAGAGGTCACTGTGTAAGCATGTTGTAGTTGGAAAATTCGAATGACACCCTCCCAGTTGTCCCCTTCACTACCTTGTTCTTCACCTTTTGAACTCCTACTCTCTTAGATGGTAAAGTAGTTGTGGTCTCACACCAATCCACAGGGCAAAAGGGGACTTCTGCTTGTTGACCAAGTATAGGGCTTTGATTTGATTTGTGAGTAGCAAAGATTATCTACCCACTCACAGAACCTAGGGAACTTGAGGAGATAAAAGGTGTAATAGGGCTCATATAGAAACTAAGTGAGCAAATGTGTGAGCAGACTGGAGTAAGGTCCTATAGCCCTGTATTCTCAGCTATAAACACCTTGCCTGGCCCCCAGAGGTGACATACATGTCTCTTTGGAATGTATTGCATGCTCTCCTTTGCCTCTTGTATGCTTTACCTTGAAGGCCCAACCCGGGGACCTCCAACTTTAGCATGCCTTTCTTAATCTCCCTCATAGTGCTCTCTCCCTCCTTAAATTATCTCATACTTATTTTTCTGTTTTAATGTGGTATCCAAGCAAAATGAAGGCTCCTTGAGGAAAGGGGTTGTTTTCAGTTTATGTCTATGCATGCCTAATTTTTTAGCACATTTGACAAATGTTTGCTGAATTTAATTGAAGAGAAAGACAGCATAAATATTCAACATATTTCAGAGGTTTATAAGTCTAAATAAGTCAAATAAAAAACCATTAAAGACTAAGTATGTTAAATAAAAAAGACACAACTGTGTATACTGAATACATACTGACTTCTCTAAGACTATCCCATCAAAAACACAATTGAGTAGAAACATCTTAGTTACCCCATTGAGCATCATATTGAATATTTCATTCCACCTCAAAATGATGTCTTTCCAGTATGGAAATCATAAAATATTAGAGTTGTCAATAGCTTTTGAGAACATCTTCAGTTGTTGAAGAGACAGAGGAGATTTGAGAGATTAAGTGATTTGACCAAGCTCACATAGCAGATGACAAATAAGAACAGGAGGGAGGAAGAGCTGTTGGACTTTCAATGTGATGCATGCTTTCTCCCCAGCTAGATCATAAGCCCCCTGAGGGCAGGGATCATGTATCATTAGGCCCTGGCTAAGGGCTCTACACATTGTGTGATAAATGTGTGAAGACGACAGGGATGGACACCTCAAATAGTTTTTCACTCTTGCGTATAAACTGTAAGCAGATGCCCAGATATCCTGCTTGTTTACATTTTGAGTGAATGTGGAATATATGGAGCAAGATGGTGTTTTGTTAAACTTCTTCAAGGTGGCTAGCAAAATATAAAAAAATACTTCACTTACAAAGAAGTCATAATAAAAAATATATTTCATTACATGAGTCCTGGTTGTGTCAAAGGATTCCCTAAGTGGGGTTTTGGTGAATAGAACAAGTTCATAGCTCTCCTATGGATCCCAGAGAAGGGTTCCTGCATTTTGTAGATTGTAGTTCATGTTTCAGGTTGTTTCAGGATGGGTGGAGGGAAGGAGAAAGAAGTCAAAATCACATTCCTACTAAAGGTTCATCTGGCCTTTCTAGGACTCAATTTCTCCTTTGGCAAAATGGGAATTATCCTTGTAGTGGTTCTTGAAGCTAGAAAACCTGGCTCGAATCCTGACTTCACTCCTGTGAGAGTCTGGAGAAATAATTCCATTTTACTTTCCTTCTCTAAAAAAAAAAAGGTTGACCATTACTTATAATTTTTACAGGGCTTTGGGAAGCTTCTTTGTAAACCTTAATAAACTATAGAAGCAAAATATCCTTACTGGAGAAAGATACATAAAAATATTCTAAGGTCTTTAAAGAAAGATAACATGAACAAAATAAGTCAAACATATTCATTGAATGCCTATGTCCAAGAAAAATTTTGTCTTCCTCCCATTACTCCCCAAACTCTCTTGCTCCTAAGAATAAAAGCTGTGAAAGGCATGAAACCCCAGCCAACACACCTTGTATGTCAAAATAGAAGAAAGCATGAACTGAGTTTGAAACTGGTAGCCCTGAGCCCAAGTCCATGACCTTGAGAAGTTCTTGTAACCAGGAAAACAAAGAAACAAACAAAAATTTCCCTATTGTTTAGCTGTTTTCCAGTCATGTCTGACTCTTTGTGACCCCATTGAGTTTAAGCTACTGGAGTGATTTGACATTTCCTTCTCCAGCTCACAGCTGAGGAAACTAAAGCAAACAGGGTTAAGTGACTTGCCCAGGGTCACACAGTTAGTAAATGTCTGAGGCTGGATTTGAACTCAAGAAGATGAGTTTTTCTGACTCCAGGCCTGGCATTCTCTCTTCTATGCCACCTAGCTACCCATGCATTTTAGGCATCAGAGCTATAACAGACCTCAGAGGTCACTGAGTGCAAACACTTTCCCCCTTTATTTCATAGCTAAGGACACAGAGATGAAGCAGCCTGCAGAGAGATCTCATGTCTTGGTAGTGGCAGAGCTAGGATTAGAACCCAGCTCCCCTCCCTTCTCATCTAGGGCTCTTTCTACCGCACCATGTGCTGTGGCAGCTATGATATCTTTAAAGTTTATAACTGTCCAGCTGTATATTTTTAAAACTACTTTTAAAAGGTCCTTCCAAAAAGACAGTTGTGCTGAATGTATTGTTGGTTCCTTAGATACAGATACAACACAACATTGTAGGGTGGAAATGACAATAGATTGAATATCAGAAGATATGGATTTGAAACCAGGCCTTTTTTTTTTAAATACTTCTGAGGGTCTCAGTCTTCTTATCTTAAAATGGAATGGTTGACTAGATGACCTCTAAGGTCCTTCCAAATTGAAACCCTAGGGGTGGCTAGGTTGCACAGTGGATAGAGAAGTGGCCCTGGAATCAGGAGGATCTGGGTTCAAATCCACCCTCAGATACTTGACACTCGATAGCTATGTGAGCCTAGGCAAGTCACCTGACTCTGATTGCCATACCAAACAAACCAAATTGAAATCCTATAACCAAAAAAAACCTCACCCAAACTGGAGAAGTAGCTGACACATTTAAAAATGGAGTATAGACACTTTAGGAGAGAAAGGCCCTTGGCTCTGGAATCACAGGGTCTGGGCTCACACTTCAGTTCTGTCGCTTTCTAGTCAGGTGACCTCGGGCAAGCCAATCTCAGATTTCTCATATGTAAAATGAAGAGGTCACTTTTAACATCTCTTTCAGTTCTAAATCTATGTTCCTATAAATCCTTCCCTTCTTCTCTTCCTCTAGTGAGCAAGCACTGCAGAGTTTAGTCAGCAAATACCTGTGGGTGTTACCTGGCACAGCCTTCTGGGCAGGGCCTGGCTTGAGCAGTAACGTAATTAGAATAGAAAGTGCTAGTGAGAACTGGGTGAACCACCCTGACTCACCTTCTCTTGTGACTCGGTTCTGGAGCTAGTCCATTTCCCTTCAGTTGTGGGTCTAGTCTAATTTCTGTCTCGTGAGAAAACTTTACTCAATTGTGAGAATTGTCAGAAAACTTTACTGCATTGTTTGAACCTGGCCCTTCATGGCTGGGAGGCTGGACCACCTCTCCCTGCTGCTTTAGAGAAGCTTGACTAAGGACCTAGGTTGTGCTGACCAGAAACCCAGTAACATCTGAAGATTGATGCAAGGAGTTTTCTCACAATTATACACCTCAAGTAACCCATGTATCTTATCTGAAAACTGGCCTCCTACTGGTCAATCAGCTATCATTTCCATGTTCCTTTGAATACAGTCACTTGGGGGGAGTGGTACATGTCTTTTTTCTGATTTTAGGGAATTGTACCAGTTTGTTCTTTCTCTCCCAAATTGGAAAGTCCCTAATCTTTCCTCCAATAAGAAATCAGATTACCTAATTTTGTAGCTGGTTACTTATTTTCTTTTAGTTAATTAGTCTTGAGTAACTGTTTTTAATACATACAAAATCTGTCCTGTGCCAAAGCTGAAGAAGGCCACCAGCCTTGACTTATTATGCAATTGACATGCACTGATTAATAAACTGATATGCTCAGAAACTCAAACCTTCATTCCCTCAGTCACTTCATCTTTTACTCACTAAAACAGGCAACCTGAAATTAACTGATAAAGGTTTAGTTAAGGAAAAGTGACCTACTTTAGGTATGGAGAGGACTCATTCTTAGTGCTAGCTTCACCACTGACTGGACATATTCTTTAATTTCTTTTTGCCTCAATTCCTTAAAAATTATAGGTGGCAGAAATACACAATTATCAATTTGCTTTCAATTTACAAATGATTTCTTATACCATTGAAATCACAGGCCCCATCCAAAATGACCAACTTTATAGGACTGCTGCAAAAAAAAGCATCTCATAAAACATAAAGCACTATATCAGTGGGAATTGTTTGTTCATATGTTTTGGGTAATATAACCCAAATTTCCAAAACAGGTCCTGACTTCATATTTTTAAAAAATCTCTCCATTTTACCCATTTTAACATATAACTACCATTTTACCCTGCGTGTGGGCATGTGTGCATATTCTCATTACATTCCCTCCTCCCCAACACACACACACATATACATATATATACATATACTTGTGTGTGTGTGTGTGTGTGTGTGTGTGTGTGTGTGTGTGTGTCTGAAAAATTGGTGGAGTGGGGCAGCTAGGTGGCACAGTGGATAGAGCACCGGCCCTGAAGTCAGGAGGACCTGAGTTCAAATCCGGTCTCAGACCAAACACTTGACACTTACTAGCTGTGTGACCCTGGGCAAGTCACTTAACCCCAATTGCCTAAAAAGCAAAAAAAAAAAAATTGGTGGAATCAGTTTATGCATAAAAGACAACAGATTTTTTCTTACCCTGGAACAGGCTCACAAAAGCAACCACAGGGATGATTAAACCCTCTCACGTAACCTGATTGTGGAGGACAAGATGGATAGTCCAGGTAGGTAGCTAGAAAACAAAGACCAGAGGAGCAGTCACTGACCTGGATTTGGCATGCAGGACATTCAGAAGACTTACTGTACGTCACAGGGAAGGGGGTCAAGGGAAGTAGGGACATAGCGGGCTGCCTAAGACCAATCTGTATCAATGTGAACAGTAGGCCATGGATAGGGAATTTCAGGACACAGTTATGAGAAGAAAAAAGAATGAGAATGCCAAGGAATTGTATCTGTTATCAGATTAAATTCCTATAATGTCTCCAGAAGCATCGATTCTGAGAGTTGGAAGAACTCTTAGAGATATCTGCATAGAGGAGACCGTAGAATAAAAGGGTCCTTGAAGATCCCCCAGTCCAACTCCCCCATCTTACAGCTGAGGAAACTTGGGCCCAGGGCTGGGAAGTGACTTGTTCAAAGTCACATGGGTAGTAAGGGGACAGAGCTGGGGTTTCTGACTCTGTTCTCTAGCTATCAGCCTCCATGGTAAGAGTTCTGAAATACCTTTATTAGATAACAATCTCCTATCATTCCATCTCTCTTTATACTTTATTCCTCTTAAACTTATTCTTTGTCTTCACCATGACCTTTAATCCCTCAACCCCTTAGCTCTTTCCTAGTCCATCACCCCCCAGTACTCTTGTTACACCTTCCTCCCTTCCCAATCTTGTTGTCCTAGTGATTGATTTAGCTCTACACCGGAAGTTCCCAAACTTATACGGCTTGCCACCCCCTTAAAAAACAAAATTACTCAGCGCCCCGCTGGAAATCTACTTTCCTTCGAACTTTCCCCTGGAAGGTCCTCCATGACAGGAACAAACACTCTTGCATCTCCCAGTTTAATGATTCCTTCCATACTAATAATCAAAAGTTCCAACAAAGTGATTTCCATCGTTATAATCATACTAGTGTAGGAGATTCTTGTAGCAAAGTCTTTAAAGTAGCATTTTATGCTATTGAATCAAATGCTCATTTACTTGTTTTTTAAACAAAACAGTTGGTTTTTGTTGCTGTTTTTCTTTTACAAACATACACCATGAGCACTACAATACAAGATGACCAAATATCCCATGAAATGATACTCTTTTATCTCTGGATACTTGATAAAAGCAACTCATGTTAGAGATGAGAAAAACCTCAGAGCTCACTTAGTCCAATGCACTTCTGAATAAGAACCCCTGTCTGCAACGTATCCACTGAGTGTCTGTCTAGTCTTCACTTCAAGACACCCTGTGAGACGGAATCCTCCCCTCTGGTTGGTGGAAAAGGATTTTTCTGAAGGTTGGGATTTCCAAAGACAGGCTTCCATTTAGCTACAATTTCTTCTTGTTTTCTGGATCATTGGATCATAGACTTAAAGCTGGAAAAGACCTCAGAGATCATTTAGACCTACACCCTCATTATAAAGGTGAGGAAACTGAAACTTATGGAGGTTAAGTAACTTAACCAAGATCACACAGGTAGTAAGCATCAAAGGTCAGATTTCAACCCATGGACTCTGATTATAGAACTCATGCTCTTTCTGCTTTTATATCATCTATAGTGAGAATCTTAATATTTATATGATTCAGTTCCCCCACTATTATGTCCCCTGAGGCATTGCACGAAGACTTGGAAAACAAACAGCTAATTTAATGTTTAGAGATGGTCTTAAAATCCTACTTCTTAGCACTTCCCCACCCACCTTCTATTCTTTCACTTTGCCACCTTCACCTTAGAAGTGAAAGGGGATAAATGAAGACTAAGCATCATTTTATATCTTTATTTGTTCCATGGATTTTGGTGGTTACAAGTCCAAATAAGGTTCTCGTACTCTCTAGCATCAAGCACCGACTTCCGACTATGGTGTTCAACATGTCTATGGTGTTATGGCTACGATGGTCATAGGATGGGAGTGGAAATAGGAGCAGGGGATACAGACTCTAGACAACGTGGAAGCAAAATGGCAAAAGGCCGAAGATATCATCAGTAAGGAAGTTCAATAAGAAAAACAGGAGATAAGAGGCGTTGCGTCCTTGCAGGGTTTACGCTACATCATTTTATGCTACTCATTGTTAGCTACTTTTGTCTTAGTCTCTAGTAAATTCCAGGATCAGAATTATACAAAATGGTTTTTGGCTTCATGAAAAATATCAGTTCTAGCAGGTTTCTAAACTTAAAGAACTGATTAAACAGACCATGGAGTAAAAATAAAAGTAAACTCCCAAATCAGAAATTCTGTGCTCTAATTCTTTCACAGCAGTCCTCCCTCCTCTTACCCCCACTTAAGAGAAGGAGTCCCTAGAAAAGGATCTAAGCCAAAATATGGACTAGGAAGGCTACAGAGAACTTATTCTCTTTGGTAACTTAAAAGAACAATAACGAATATTTTCTGTTTAGGGAGAGATGGGATGGGATGTAATGAAATAGAAGTGAAGAAAACAGAAGGTTGGAAACAGTTGGTGCAGAGGAGATAGGAGGTCTTCCCTGCCCCTTCCACAAGGAAGGCTGTGCAGTGGTGAGGGCCCAGGCAATATAAGCTAATATTTTACAAGTGGCCCACTTTCTTCAAGAATCATTGCATTTGATAGTCAACACACACACACACACACACACACACACACACACACACACACACCCCACACACACATGTTGAAATGAAAAAAAAAAGACACAGGGTCATAGCTCACCATTAGAAGTTATAGTCCCATCATCATACTTCTTAATTAGTACCAGGTCTACAAAATCTCTAGGAGAAATGAGTTTCATGGCAGCTGATGGTGTGATTGTTCTGGTTATGAGGAGATCCTGCCAAATTTAAGGGAAAAAAAATTACCTGTATAATATCTTTTCAATAAGAAAAGCCCCTGGACACTTAAAAGAACCCAAGAACATAGTCAACCCAAAGGGCTGTAAAAAAATGTGCAAAGTCTTTGACCCAGCAATGGCACTTTTAGGGCTGTATCCCAAAGAGATCATACAAATGGGAAAAGAACCCACATGCAAAAAAATATTTATAGCAGCTCTTTCTGTGGTGACAAAGAATTGAAAATTGAAGGGATGCCCATCAGTTGGGGAATGGCTGAACAAGTTGTTGTATATGAATGTAATGGAATACTATTGTGCTTTTTGCTATAAGAAATGATGAGCAAGCAGACTTCAGAAAAACCCGCAAAGACTTGTATGGACTGATGCTCAGTGAAGTGAGCAGACCCAGGAGAACTTTGTACACAATAACAGTCATGTTGTTCGATGACTAACTTTGATAGACTTAGCTCTTCTTAGCAATGCAAGGATCTAAGACATCTCCAAAAGTCTCATGAGGGAAAATGCTATCCACATTCAGAGAAAGAACTATGAAGTTTGAATGCAGACCAAAGCATACTATTTGCTCTTTTTTTTCTGTTTTGTTTTGTGTCTTCTTTCTTGTGGTTCCTCCTATTCATTCTAATTCTTCTTTACAACATAACTAATGTGAAAATACGTTCAACAGGAATGCACATGTAGAGATTGCACACCATCTTGGGGAGAAAGGCTGGGAGGGAGGGGGTGAAAATTTACAACTCAAAAGTCTATGTAATTGAATATTGAAAACTAAAAATAAATTAATAAAAAAAAGAAAAAAGAAAAACATAGTCACGCCCCAACATAGGGTCATAGCACTAGAACTGAAAGAAATCTTAAGAGGTCTTCTAGAAAAGAAATGTCAAACCATGCAGCCCATGGGCCAAATGTAACCCACAACACCGCTGAGTGCAGCTTAACCCAGATGAAAATGTAATTGGGAAATATTTAAGAAAATAAATTGAAAATACAATAAAACACAGGTTAAAAACTACATTTTAAAATTAAATCAACAGGTGGTCTGCAGGGATCTTTTATGTATGGTTTAGTAGCCCCTATTTCTATTTGTATTTGATTCGACTGATCTAGACCAACTCCTTCATTTTATGGATGAAAAAACCGAGGCCCAGAGAAGTTGAATTTAAGTGACTAGCCTAAAGTCCCATTGCTACTAAGCAGCAGAGATAGGATTCTAACTCAAGTCCTGGGACTCCCACTTCATTGTTCTTTCCACTTTATCATGAAAAAGAATAATATGAAGTTGGTGTTGTGCTTTAGGAAATAATAGCAATGTAACAAAAAAATGAATAAGACATTAAAACAAAAAGGGACTACAAAGGAAGAAAAAACAGGGTGTAGCACAAATGTTCACTGATGAGAATGACCCAAAGAACCCTCTCCTAAGGAATCAGAAGAAGCAGTGGCTGCTGAGAACCTCATGCCTCCTTATAAGTGACTGAGGCTCTACAGTCTCTGGAGAAAAGATTGTTAAACATTGGTGGGTATCTTTTTTTCCTCTGAGTTTTTTTTTTGTTTTCTTCTATCTAAAAAAAACCCAAACTTTTATTCCTGGGGGAGGGGGCAAGAAGAGGAAGAAAGGGAGTAAATAATAATTAAGGTAAAGCTAGGAAGGCGAAAAAAGTGAAACAAAATAGAGGAGAAAATGAGGGGAGCCTGCAAAGGGCAGTAAACTTTCATATCTACAGAGAAAATATGCTTTGTAAGCATCATACATTGGGAACCACAGCTCACTTTAGCTTCATACTTCACAAATCATTGGGAATCACAGAAAATCAGAACCTTAGAAATCACCTAGTCCATTTTTCATGGAATAAGAATCTCCTGTACAACATGCCTGGCAAGTGTTTTTTTTTTTCTTATGGGTAACCGAATTTAAAATCTGTTTAGTAGAGCTGAAAATGTTAAGAAATAATATTTTTCCCTAAACTCCTTTCCAGACTCCAGGAAGACCCCACTGGGCTGAATACAAAAAAGCCTTTCTAAGAGAAACAGATAAAAGCTGATAAGCAGATTTAATTGTTGAGATAAGATCCCCACTCTCTCCAACCTAGAAACCATTGAAACTAGGACTCATCCAAAGCAAAGTACTTTCAATAGAGGAGGAAACACCCACTTGCTTAGCCTCCTATTCAGTTAAGATTCTCCATAGAGATTTCTGGCAGGTCCCTCTAGATTCTTCAGGGGGAGTGATCCAAGAGAAATCTAACTCAGACTATCTTTTCCTTATTCAAGATTCCTAAAAATGTTACCTGACAAATTCTGGGACAGATTCTTGTCTCAGGGCACGGGGGACTATGCCATTTTGTACATCTATCTTTCCAAGCTATAAATGGCTTGGATGTGGATTGATCAAGGTTAAATTAAATAAAATTGATTCTGGAAGACTGGTGCCTAAATACAGAACACAGTATTAATATTTTTTTCTTTGACACTTAATTTTAGTCAAAATCATTGGTCATCAGACAAGGATGAGAAAGGTATAAGTATCATTATATTGATTTTTACAGATGAAAAAACTAAGGATCAGAAAGGTCAAGTGAGGTACCCTTGGTTTTAGCCCAATAAGTGGTCTATCATCTTTCTATCACATTATGCTGTATCTCTTTACAATTTGAAGCTTCCATTTCCCATTGGTTTCTGATCAGCCTAGCTCTTCTGTTATGCAAGTTGGGGTGACATCATTTTTAAAAGGACAATTTTTAAAAGAATCAAATCCTTAATTCTATTTCAGTAAAATCTACCATACCTTGACGGCTATGAACTTGATGTCAGGAAGACCTGAGTTTAAATATAGTCTCAGACATATACTAGCTCTGTGACCCTGGGCAAGTCATTTAACCTCTGCCTGCCTCAGTGCCTCATTTTTAAAATGAGGATACTACTGGTACCTACCTCCCAGGATTGTGGTGGGGACAAAATGAAATAATATTTGTAAAGCATTCTGCAAACTTTAAAGCGCTATAAATGCTTGCTATTATTATTATTATTTACCTATTTGCCATCCAAGATTTCCTTGGGCTTTGAAATAAATGACTTTGACACCCTCTATAGTTATGGTGAAGCTTTTTGCTTAAATTATACACTGCTTGCAAAATTTAGACTATAAAAAGCACTGGGCTGGCACTCAGGAGAAATAGAGTCTAGTCTTAGCTCTTTCATAAAATGACTCTGAGACCTTAGACAAGTCACCTTTTTTGATCTTACTTTTCTTATCTATAAAAGGAGGAGGCGAGACTAAACAGTCATAGAACTTCTGACTTGGATTGATGGGGATGTTGGCATAGGGGTGTAGTAACTCAGTCAAGTAGATGGGGCACAAGACTTGGAGTCAGGAAGACCTGAGCTCTAATCTTGGCTACACTACTCACTAGCTGTGTGACCCTTGGCAGGTGACGTCTCTCTGGGCCTCAGTTTCCCCATTTGTAAAATGAAGACATTGCATTCAAAGGCTTCTAAGGTTCCTTCTAGCTTTATAACTATGATCCTATGACTTTTGAGGTCATTGAGTCACATGAGCACAGAATCATAGACTGAGCATTAGAAGAGATCTTAGAGGTCATCGAGTCCAACCCCTTTATTTTATAAATGAAGAAACTGAGTAAGACAGAGAAGAATAAAAAGAAGGTCACAGAGGTAGTTTGTAGCACAGCCAGGGTCCAAATTAAATTCTTTTACTCCAAATCTGATGCTCTCTCATTTTACCAGTGAGAAACCAGAAAAAGGAGTGACTCTCCCTTTTGTCACAAAACTAGAACTCAAATCCAGGGTTCCTGAATCCTCGGGCAGTCTTGATTTCCAAAGTCCCTTGCTATTCTAAAATTCTGTGATTTTATCATAAAAAGCTTAATGCCCATAGAATTAATCATTATAGAATGCAGCAACAATGGTTTCATACAAGATTCTTAGGATCATAGGATCTTCACAAAATGTTTTAATTTTCTGATTAAAAGTCAATTCTCCCCTACCCATTTGTCAATAAGGATGTAATAACATCTGAAAAGAGGATACATAAAATCAAGTCAAACTTATTCACTCTACTGAGGTGGCCTAGAAGATCGAATGAAGGACCAGGAGGGCAGGAAGATCAATTCAATTCCTATCTCAGACACTTGTTAGCTCTCTCTATGATCCTGAGCAAGTCATTTGTTTCAGTTTCCTCATCTGTAAAATGGGAATAATAAGAACACTTACCACAGAGGATTGTTATGGGGATCAAATAAGTTAATCCGTAAAGCACTTTGCAAACCATAATTATATAATTTCTTCTTTTTGAGTTCAAATCTGGCCTCAGACAATCACTAATTTTGTGATCCCGGGCAAGTCACTTAATTCTGTTTGCCTCAGTTCTTCATCTATAAAAATGAGCCAGAGAAGGAAATGGCAAACCACTCCAGTATCTTTACCAAGAAAATTGCAAATGGGATCATGAAGACATGAATGAAATGATTAAACAACAAAAAAGTGTTATGAGTCAGGATGCATCTCTTATCTCTAATGTGCCTTAGGGATATTATCTATAAAGCATTATCATCTATAAATCTACCAAATGACTGGAATTCTGAGACCCAGCATCAGGGTGTTCTTATTTTTTAAGTTTGATACATTACAAACATTTCCAGAAATGACTCCCTGTCCATGAGGAGTCTCTTGAAACAAAATAAAAACAATTAAACAAAACTAACAATACCTGATCTGAAACTGAATGCAATATTCCACATTCATAGCAACCCCCTAACCTCTCAATTTTAAATGTTTATTATTAAGATAAATCTCTGTTCTCTCTTTTCCATCTCCCCAACCCCACTAAAGAGAAAGGAAAGAAAAAATAATCCTTAAAATATATATGTACGGTCAAGCAAAAACAATTCTGTTATTCTGCACACTAAATCTGTCACTTCTTTGTCAGAAGGTAGACAGTACATATCAGTCCTCTGGACTTTTAAACATTTGTGATGGAAAAATTTCAGCTGAAAAAAATTTTTTGAAATACAAACATGGGAATCAAGAGAAAAATAAAAGGCTAAATAAAAGGACTAAGGAAACATACAGAACTACCTACATTAGTAGACACAGGATCCAATTGAGGGGGTGGGGACAAAGCCAGCCACCACATAGCTCCAGGTAAAGTTATTATTCTTCTAGGGAATAGCAGACTAATTGCTTAGTTACCTAAGACTGACTGCACCTGAATCTTCCTAGGGCTGGGGGTGAAGGGGGGAGAGGGAGAGCTGAAGGCATTACCAAAATACAGTACCAAGTCTGAGTGAAGCATTAGTGTTCCCACTATGATTCCCTCACTCCTTTTTCATCATGATGATGCTTTTTACCTAGGAAGACCCAGAAGCTTGGGCAAACCAAACAATATCAAATGTAAGAGCTGGAAAGGACTTCAGATATTATCTAACTTAACCCACTTATTTCACACATGAGAAAAGAGAATTGAGCTAGATTAGGAGTCCTTAGCTGGGGTCTGTAGATAGATTTCAGGAGGTTGGTGAACTTAATAGGGAAAAAAATCACAATTTTTATGTACCTCTAAATGATATTTAGCATTTCTTCCAATTATTTAAAAACAGCATTCTGTAAAAGAGTCTTTACTGCCAAAGGTGTCCAAGAAGCAAACAAAAAAAAGTTTAAGAACTGTTGAGCTAGATGATCTTTGGGGCACCTTCCAAGTCTAAATACTAGGAATAATACTTAATGATTTCATGAGCTCATGCAGTAGTTTGTCATGTTTTTAAAAGCATTATAGGGACACAATTCTTGTGCTCAAGGAGTGATCAATGATAGAATGTTAGAACTGGAAGGAAACTTTGGGGAATCAACCAATTCAATTTTATAAATAATAAAACTGAGACCTAGAGAAGTAAATGACTTGAGCAGAATCACACAGATTATAAATGGCAGAAACAAGACTCAAATTCAATGTATTTCTCACTACTTGGTGCTTCCTTCTAAGTGACATCACTATAATATGATACAGCCAATATCTAAAGAAGTAATAATTATTTTAAATTATTATGTGGTCTGGACCTATGATTTCATTCCTGTGAGGAAATCCTGGTGTGAAAATTCCCTTCACCAATGCAGATCAGCAATTTGTCTGTAACTTAAGACTCTTGGAAAGATGCCTGGAGAACTAAGAGTTTTAGTGACTTGTCCAAGGTAACAGACACTGTATGTCAGAGACAGGACTTGAACCCAGGTGTTCCTGACTCCAAAGCTGGCCCTCTATCACTGTGCCACAGTGATTATCATTAATTAGTATTATATTACAACATTTGAAGTAGCTTACATCTTTGATCAATTCAAGGACTTGAAGGTCTTTCACATTCTCATCCCATTTTGCCCGTAATCCATTATCTGCTGGTAGTAAGAATTTCCACACCTCTTCAGGGGTGCCATATATTATTCCTTCTCCTTTGTACCTGTGTGGTGGAGGGAGGAAGAAAATTGACACTGAGATATTATAGCTCATCTTTGGAGAAACTGGTATTTTTTAAAAATAAATATAGAGTGAATAGAAAAGACATTGTCACTATCTTTTCACTCTAAGCACTGTTAATTAATAAGTACTTCTTAATAATGCACTTAATAAATGCTTCTTGAATTAATGAATCATTGAGTAATAAATCCAAGAGAGGAAACCAAAGCTTATCAGCCTAACTCCTGTTATGCTTGTTTATGCTTATATAATATATCTGTGTCTCCACGTTCCAATTCAATCTGATAAAAAATGATTTGTTTCAAAATAAGAGATTATATTTCCCAGAAAAAATAATCCTGATGGATTGACCTCAAGGGGACCTTGTACTATATATACATTCAGCATCTTCTATGATTTAAAGAAACACATTGACTTACAGGTTCCCAGGAAACTCCGTAGAAGGCCTCCAAGAAATTGTAACTCCTTTCTGTTAATAAAATTATTAGGGATGAGAAAAACACTTGAGAAGGACTTCTCAATCTGACTTAAAATGTCGCTGGAATTTTTCAAATCCCACCAAACTCTCAGTTGCTTTACAAAAATAATTTTAAAAAAATCTTTACACAATTTAGAGCCTCTATTAAAATTCAGACTTTCAAGGAAGTGAAATAGTTTACTTTAACACCCAAGCAGAGCCCATGTATTTTCAGGGGAAAATGGTCATAATCTACCTAGTTTTATATCTCCCTCGTCTAGCTCATAGTAGGTGATTCATTAACATTTGTTGAGTTGAAATTTCTGTTTATGGTTTCTGAAAATAAAATCCTCTTTTACCTGGGAGTTCTGAATTTTCAGCTTGATTCATCTAGAACAGTTTCGAGTTCTGAGCTTCCAGTAGGGGACAGGGGATATCAGAACTCTGGGAAATTGTCAGGAATGAAAGGACTCAAAGAGGCAGTGACTGCGCGACTGAGTAAGGTGGGGGGTGCGGTGTGCTGATGAGGCTTGTCGGGGTACGGAGGCATCGTGGAGTAGATTGGCAGAAAGTCTGGGCAGAGTAAGGGAAGATCCTTTGTTCTGGGTGGAGGAAGGGCAGCCTAGAAGTAGTACTAAGCCTGGGAGATGAGGACATAGGCCCGGAAAACAGGCTGGGGAAGGAACAGGGAGTTGGTGAGAAAGGGCGCAGAGCACAATGTCCCTCAAGGAGACGTGGACTTAGAGAGAGGATACACTATGTCAGCCTGATGCAGGCAAGTGAAAAAGAGAAGAGCCCAAGTTCTCTGTGGGGCCGCCCCTAGTCCGACTGTTTGGTCCCCCCGGGGCCCCATCACTCACGCCGCTCCGACACGTCTTCCATCCACTCTCATCCCTTCGGTAGTGCAGCATTTTCTCAGCCACTACGCCGGACACCTCAGCTGCCCGAGCTGGGTCCATGGTGAAAAGTGAACTGAGCCTAGAGCTACCGCTGCAGGTACACCCGGGGCTGACAGTCCTCACCGTGTGGGGAGGAGTCAGGGCCCAGACTCCGCCCCCACCTCACGGATTGGTCCGAAAATCCCCATTCTTGGGGACCGTCCCTCCTATTTCCCGGTTGGCAGTTCCAGGCAAGGCCTCACGTGGTCTGTCCCCTTAGTTCTGGTTTTCTTTCATTGCTTCCTGCACTCTGGTTTTTGTGGAATCCAGTTCCGCCTGGCTTTGGAAAGGAGGCGCCCGGGGCTACCCTGCTTGGTAAAGGTCGGGAGACGCCCCTGGCGAGATAGGCGGAGCGAATCCCACCCAGCAGCTGGGATGTGGAGAAGAGCTGAGTTGAGCTAAACTGGCGCTAATGCTGGGCGGGACTAGGATTAGCATTTCTTCTCCACCCTCTACCTTTTCCTGTCAGGAAGAGAGGAAAAGACCTGGCCTTCCCACCATAATGCTCTCCCCTGAACTGTGCAAACACACCTCCTTAGAATGAATATGTCGTCATATCACCCCAACCTACAAGAAGTCCCAGGCAAAGACGCCTCCCTCTTCTCTAAAAGATAACTTGCTTTCTTGACCTCGCTCCTTCTGAACTCTTAATGACTCCTATAACCTTGGGCAATTCGCTGATTGAATTAGATCAGCGTTTCTTAACCTGGGACCTATGCGTTCATGGGCTCCCCTGGTAAAATTTCAGGGGGTCGATGAACTTAAGTGGAGAAAAAATTGTGTCTTATTTTCCATAACTAATAGCTGAATTTTAATATCTTTCAGTTATTTAAAAACTGTGCAGGGAAGGATTCCCTAGACTTTGCTAGGTTGTCCTCCTAGCTGAAAATTCTCTTAACTCCTTTAATTCCCTACCTCTAGTACATGAGCTGGGAAGCTGTGGCCTCGAGGTCACATATAGACCTCTAGGTATTCAAGTGTGGCCCTTTGAGTCCAAGTTTTACAGAACAAATGCTTTTATTAAGGGGATTTTTTTCTGTGAAGTTTGGATTCAGTCAAAGGGCCGAACTTGAGGACCTAGAAGGCCACATATGACCTTGAGGCAGAAAGATCCCCACCCCTGCTCTAGCATGTTTAGTCTTCAGAGTTTCTTCCTTGTGGACACTTACCTCACGTCAAGAACTCCACAGCTGAGAAGAGAGTGTTTATGAGTTTCTGTGGCAAACCAAACAACTACTACCTCATTTGAGGCTGTTCCTCTTACTATAACACACATACCTTGACACCTGGTGATACTAACTGAACCTTTCCAAAAAGAACCTGGCTGAATGCCTTTTCCCTGTTAGCACAATCTTTGACACCCCAGAGTCACCTCTGCACCAAGATAAGGCATCCTAAGGAGACTTGAGCACAGGATAATCTCTCAATATGGGGGGAAAGGGTCAAAATCCTCCCTTTGCTCCACTCCAGCCCTTGGCTACCCAATTTTTCTCCTTCCTTTCATTTTGAGGCTTCCCAAATCAACAGCTTCCTTTTCTTCACCACCTACTTCCTACCTCTAGATTTCTGTTACTAGTCCCTCTCTGTTGCCAGTGAAGCTCTTGGCAAATTCAGGAGTATTTTTTCAAACCTCATGACTCTCAAACTCTCTGCAGCATTTGGCAGCCTATATCACCTTTTCCTAATTAAAACTCTTCCCACTTAGTTTCTCTGACATCATATTCTGGCTTCTCTGTCGCCCATAAATTATTTAACAAATTCTCCATTTTTTTAAAGGCTTCTTGGTTCTCATTTCCTAAATATGAATGTTCCTCCAATAATACTCTTCTCTTGTTTATACTGATAGTTTTTTTTTTGTGAGGCAATTGGGGTTAAGTCACTTGTCCAGGGTCACACAGCTAGTACGTGTCAAATGTCTGAGGTCGGATTTGAACTGAGGTCTTCCTGACTCCAAGGCAGGAGCTCTACCCACTGCGCCACCTAGCTGCCTCTATACTGATACTTTCTTGTTTAATACTGATATGCTTCCCTTGTTTCTACACCTCTCCCTCAGAATTAATATTCAGTTATCATCACCTCTGTATTTCAAATATATGAATTAACCAATAAATTAGCAAACACTTATTAAGCTCCTACTATGTACTAGTGCTAGGTCTTATGGGTACAAAACAATGAATGAAACAATTCCTCATCCCAGCTCTAGGTCCATATTTTACAATCTACTTTATATTTCCATGTGAATATCATACTGCTATTTTGGTTTGCTGTTCCATTTTCAGTGATACCAACATCATTTTGAGTCAAAAATCTACTGTAATTTTGACTACTCTTTTTTCCTATTTTCTTCATGATTCTCATCTAATAATTAATCAATCTCTATGAATTCATCCCTCAAAATAGCTTTAATATCTATCAGCACCACACTTAAGAATTATGATACCTGGGGGACAGATTCCCTGGAGCTAGGGCTGGGTGGTGGTGGTAGTGGTACGGATAGTAGTGGTGGTAATATCTAATGCATAGCAACACCTTTGAATGGTTGATTCTGATTGAGATAGAAGTCAAGAGAGTTAAGGAGGGTGAGAGCCTGAAGGCCAAGAATGTCTAATAAGGTCAGCTATTAGAATGGAAAAGACTTTGTGGTAGTTACTGAATTTATTGAGGAATTATGACCTGGAAGTCCATATGTAACAAATACCAGGATGTGGAAAGTTGTAGGAAACAGTGAAGAGAATAAAAGATGTAGTAATGGTGGAACATGGTAAGTCTGGAAGGGATATTCCAGAGCAAGGAATATTTCATTTTCTTCTGGTCCTGTCTTTCAGTGGTGTAGTGAGTCAGAGAGGAATAGCCAGGCTTGGACAGTTTGTTAAGAAATGAGTACTGAACAATATAAAGAATATCAGATGATAAGATTTCAGATGACAGCTGATCATTCACTATTCATTTGAAGATTTCCAGGAATGGATGACCGAACTGCATTTTGAAGCAGCCATTCTGTTTTTGATCAGCTATCATTTTTTCCTATTAAAAAAAATAAGTTGATATCTACTTCTCTGTAAGTAAGACAAATCTGATTTCTTTTCTTCTTTGAATACTTGAAGACTACTACCTTGTCCTGCCTAAAACTCCTCTTCTTCAGGTTAAACATCCCCAATTCCTTCAGCCAAACAATTTATAATAATATCATCTTAAGTCTCTTCCCTCCTCATTCTGTTCACCCTCTTTTAAAAGTGATATTTATTAATATCCTAGCTAATGCATTTCCCTCATTCTACCACCCTTATTAACTACAGGGTAAGAAGAGGATGAGGAAGGAGACAAATTCAAGTTTCTGATTGGAAAGTATGTGATTTATCTCTAGACCATTCAAAATGGGAATTAAAAGTCTTAAAGTCAGAGACAGGGGGGAGGCAGAGAAGGGAAGATAATTGGTATAGGGAGAATTTCTCTCCCTGGCTGGTCAGACCTTGCAGAAACTCTCATAATTCTACGAATAATGGATCTGAGCATGAGAAGCAGCCAGAAGTCCCTGTCAATGACACTAAAATGTGGGGTCCTAAGCTAAACACAGCACTCTAGATATAGCATGACAGGGGCAGGATACTCATACCCCTCATTTTGTGCAGATGAATCCCAAATCCATACCCAGCCCACACTTCTCAACTCTAGTCCCATAATACCAACTTCCTATTAGACATTCCCAAGTTGTTACATAATCATCTCAAACTCAATATGTACAGAACAAAAACTCATTATCTTTCTCTGCACACCCACCAGCCTTACAAACTTCCCTGTTTCTGTCAAGGACCTTCTGGCCACCTTGGTTTGCATCATTGGTGTTATCCTCAGTTCTTCTCTCACACACGTACACATACACACACACACACACATGTATATGTATGTGTATGTGTATCACATCATATATACATACATGTGTGTATGTATACATAAGGTTGTTTATGCATGTGTGTATATATATATATACATATATATATATATATATACACACACATATATATATATATACATATATATGTATATATATGTATATATATATACATATATATGTATATATATACATATATATGTATATATATATGTATATATATACATATATAATACATATATATGTATATATATATGCATATATATATATATATATATATATACATATATATATATATATATATATATATATATATATATATATATATATATATATATATATAGCAAAGAATGAGGGATATGGTAGTCCTTCTATATTCTGCCCTAGCCAGGCCACATCTAGAGTGCTATGTTTATGTTTAGCTTAGAACCCTTCATTTTAGTGTTGCCAGCAGGGATCTCAGGCCACTTCTCATGTTCAAATCCACAAACTCTTAAGACTATAGGAGTTCATACAAGGGCTGAACAAACATGGAGAGAAATTCTCCCTGTCCCAATTACTGTATGTATGTATGTATGTATACATGTATGTGTGTATATATATGTACATGGGTCAGCTAAGTGGTGCAGCAGATAGCGTGCTGGCCCTGGAGTCAGGAAGATCTGAATTTAAATCTGGCTTCAGATACTTAATTAACTGTAGGACCCTGGAGAAATCACTTAATCCTATTTGCCTCGTTTTCCTCATGTATAAAATGATCTGGAGAAGGAAATGGCAAACCACTCCAGTATCTTTGCCAAGAAAACCCCAAATGCGGTCATGAAGACTGAAATGGCTGAACAACATATATGTATGTATGTATGTATGTATATATGTATGTATATATGTGTATTTCTTCTTCTCCACTCACGTAGCCATCATCATAGTTTAGATCCTCATCATCTCTTATCTAGATCATTTTAATAGCGACCAAATCAATCTCTCCATTTCAAGGCTCTTTTCACTCTATTTTGTCCTCTACACAGCTGTCAAAGTGATTTTCCCCCCCCCAAAATGTAAGTATGACCATGTTTCTATTATCTCTAGGATCAAATATAAACTTCTCTAGAATTTAAAGCTCTTTACAACCTACCTCATGCTACCTTTCAAACCTTACTACACATTTCTCCTCTCTACACCCACATCACTACAGCCAAAATGAACCAGCAAGGTGTTATAGTAGAGTTGGATTGGATCGGAATTGTATTAAGACTGAATTCAAATCCTGCTTTAAGACCTTACTAGCTATGTCATCTGGGGCAATCCACTTAAACTTTCTTAAATCTTAGTTTCCTCATCTATAAAGTGAGGATAATAATAGCACCTGTATCACAAGATTGCTTTGAGGATCACCGAGAAACATATATAAAATGCATTGCAAACCTTAAAGCACTATGTAAAGACTATCCTCCTCCTCC